AACCCTGCTCAGGGCTGTGCAAAGTCGTGGCCAAGATTCCATACCTGTGGGGTAAATTCCCCCTTCAGGTCTACCTGCCCCTCCCTCCCCTTCCCACCTCCGCCTCAGGCCAAAAGGCCTGGGCACTGAGACATGCCAGATAAGCAAGGCAGGCCCTGCCCTCAGGGAGATCACAGTGTCAGGGCTGCCACCAGGGATAAAAGACTCAAAGCTCCAGAGCACAGCCCAAGGCCTTTTATTGTGGAGTTAAGCTCCTGCCAGGGTTTCCCATTTAGCTACAGAGACATTAAGAGAAAAGGAAATGACAGCAGTAACAAAATATGCTTGTAAGCACCACTGGGACCCTCCTGTTAAGTGATGCACAACAAACACAGGAGAAATTCAATCTGCACAGGATCCCGGGGAGGGATTTGATGCTGAGAAAGCTACTGTGCTTGCGACTGGGGACCTTGCTCTGGCAGAAGAAGGAAGAGGAAAAAAGCAGGAAAAAGTGGCTGGGAAAAGTAAAACCGGTGAAAATAATGCTAACGACCCTGGACAAAGTATGTGCACACAGACACAGACATAAGCACACACTTCCGCTCCCACACAGCCCTGAGGGAAGCAAGGAGCAGGTGAGAAAATGAGGCTCAGAGAAAGGACAGGACATGGCTGCAGAATCAGCTAAGAAGTAGAAACAGGGACCAGAGCTCGGTGACCCCCTCTGGGAAGCTGCCCAGGAGAGCAAGAGCCCAGGCTGGGCCCAAGCCTCCCCGACAGCTTCCCGCTCAGTGGGATAAGAACTCAGGGTGTCCCTACTCCGGGACAGTTTCGTCCAATACCATGGGAATGCCAGCAGAACAGACTCCACTTAGTGAAAGCTTTTCTTAGGTGACTGCTTTTTGACTTCAGGCAATTGTTTTCCAGGGTCAGTGGCTTAATTTTGAGGAGCTCTAGCACTCCAGGTGGAGGTTTAGCCACATGTTTCTGCAGGGGCCACTGTCCCCATTCAGATGGCAGCAGCTGTGGAGCAGAGATATAAAAAGGAGGGGATGGAAGACTGACTTCGGAGCACATCTTAGAGACCAACTTTTTAGAATATTTATTTAGCATAATGATCTTCCAGGGGGCCAGACACATGAGCTGGCACTGCTCTTAGACCCGGGGAACGAGGGCTCCTGCCTTGGCCTAGTTTTCACGAGCTCCACTCGCCTTCTCCACAGGGTGCCAAGGGCCAGGGGTCCACCCAAAGCCCACCCACTTCCCCTGCACCTGGAGCTCCAGGCCCTACACCTACTCCCATGGCTGCGTGAGCCTCTCTCCTGGATCCTGACTCCCAGAGGTGAACTCCACTGTTGGTGTGTGCACTCCTAAGCCCAAGGAGTGGCCAAGGGGCAGAGCTGGGACGGCCACACACATGTGCTTGAGTCCCTTCATGGTGAGAAGAGGAGGGGTGACCCCCCTCATTTGTACTCTAGCCCCTGGAGCCATAAACATTTACCAGGAAAATATTTTTTTGTAGTTGTTTTAGTTTTTGTTTTGAGATGGGGTCTCACTGTTGCCTAGGCTGGTCTCTAACTCCCAGGCTCAAGTGATCCTCATTTGCAGACCTGGTCTGGAACCTTCAACAATCAGTGTAGGGAGCGTCCCTGGGAAAAATTGGCTTAAGCCCAGAGTCAGCGAAACTGGGTGTGCTCTCCTTGGCGCCAGAGGTCAATAGGCCCCGCACGGGCCTGTTGACTAAACAGAACTATTCCTCATGACAGATAGCTTTATGACAGATAACCAAGCGCCTGGGGTCTTGCAAACAAGCCAAGGCGTCTCATTGTCCTGCATACGGTAATGAGATGAAGAAGTTAAGATGCAAGAAGTTAAGATGCAGGCCGGGCGCGGTGGCTCACGCCTGTAATCCTAGCACTCTGGGAGGCCGAGGCGGGTGGATCACTCAAGGTCAGGAGTTCGAGATCAGCCTGAGCAAGAGCGAGACCCCGTCTCTACCAAAAAATAGAAAGAAATGATCTGGACAACT